GGTATCAAGTGCTTAATATAAGTACCTTCTGAAGCATAGGGAGCTTAAGATAGAGAATTTTTGGTCTCCATCCAATGACCGGCATATACACATCGTTTTGTTCTTGTGGTTCGCTTAAAGAATCGCAATTTGGCAGTTTTAAAACAATTAAGTTTAGTCTGTAGCAACATAATTACCAACCATATTAGAAAGTGCGTTAATTTTCATTATACAGCCGTTCTCGAGTTTTAAGAAGACGAACGAACAGCAATTGTATTTTATCAGTAAAGTGTTTTTAATGAAATATTTAGCAAACATACACTTAATTTGAATTTATAATAATATGAGAAATTTTTATTAAAAATTTATTCCATTAATAATGTTGAATCGTCTCTTATAAAAATAAATTGCTTAGAAGAGATTACAGATGAGCGACATAGCTTATTATGAGTCTCTAGACGTAAATAATTTTTACCATTTAAAATTTTTGAGGTGTGCAAATGTCTTGTTAATTTTTAATTAAAATATATTATTATATTTGATGATTTTTTTGCATTTACAATGCTGTACTGAAAAATATTCTTCAGTATAGTATTATAAATGAGAAATTGTTCAAAAATAATATTTAGAATAAATTTTCATATTTATCGAAAATTTAAATATTTGTAAAAATATTTCTTTCGGCTGTTTGTTTGGATTGCCTGAACATTGATGAAAATACGCTCTATAGTAGCGAAAAAACAACAAGTGCTTGAAAAATTCATCAATCCTGCTAGGTCCTGTGTAGCTCACCCTGCCCTTCTCATGCATAAGAAGAGCGCTAAGATTCCACAAATTCCCCCCATACATTGTCAGAATAGTGGAAAATTACTTGGAGGGAAGGACAATCAGGTACCTAAGTGCAGACAGAGGAATAGTGGCCAGGGATATGGTGTGTGGGGTTCCACAGGGGTCGGTTCTAGGACCACTCCTGTGGAATCTCGGATACGATTGGCTATTGCGAGGGGAGATCATGACCAGTGCGAGGGTGATATGTTACGCAGATGACAACCTCGTAGCGGCCAGGGGGAGGAGTTATGAGGACGCCAAAATAGTGGCCGAAGAAACGACCAAGCTGGTGCTTATGAGGATGAGGATGCTGGGGTTGAAGGCAGCGGTCCATAAAACAGAGGCCATCCTTTTTCATGGACCCAGAAGGGGACCACCCGCTGGGGCGTACATGAGGGTAGGAGGAGAAGTTGTCCCATTTACCCTGGGGATGAAATACCTTGGACTGGTTCTGGATGGTCGATGGAAGTTCGACCGTCACTTCAAACAGCTCATCCCCAGGATACAGAAGGCCGCTGCAGCACTAGGCAACCTGCTGCCGAACCTGGGAGGACCCGGATCCAGCTGTCGCAAGCTGTTCGCCGGGGTCCTAAGATCAATGGCATTGTATGGAGCACCAGTGTGGGCACCCTCCATCAATTCGGAGAACACCACCCTGTTAAGACGTCCCCAAAGGGTGATTTGTACTCGCGTTGTCCGGGGATATAAAACCATTTCTGCGGAGGCAGCATTTTTGCTGGCTGGTATGCCTCCATGGGACCTTGAAGCCAAGGCCCTCAGAGAGGTGTACCAGTGCGCTGGCTAGGGGGGAGCCAGCCACCATAGAAAAAATGGCGACAACGCGAGCGACCGCGAGGGAATCCGTGCTGGAGGAGTGGAAACGTCGGCTCGATGCCCCCACGGTGATGGGGCGCAGGACCATCGAAGCCATACGACCCGTCTTCCAGCAGTGGATAGAAAGAAGGGAAGGGACACTCACATTCCGGATGGTGCAGATACTGTCAGGGCACGGTTGCTTCGGGCAGTACCTGCACCGGATCGGAAGAGAGGAGTCCCCGACCTGTCACCACTGTGACGCCGCAGTGGACACCACGCTCCATATACTCAGAGAGTGCAGCGCATGGTCGGAGCGGCGTCGTGAGTTGGCAGAGACGATTGGGAGTCAGGACCTCTCCCTGCCCAGCGTCGTAGCTGCCATGCTGGATAGCGACAGGTCCTGGCGAGCGGTCGCCTCCTTTTATGAGGTTGTCATCCAACAAAAGGAGGCCGCGGAAAGAACCCGAGAGGCCAATGCCCCGGCACATTCTTTCCGCAGTAGGAGGGGAGGACAGAGACGCAGGCGCTACGTGCAAAGTCTCAACACCCCCTCCTAATTGCCAGCCTTGCTCCGCGGGGTTGCCGATTGTCGTCTGTGCTGCGGCTCGCGTCACCTCTCCTCAGGAGAGAATTACATAAAATGAACAATTAATTAAATAAATAAGTGTCATTATACCATATGAAATAGGGAAAAAATATAAAGAAAAAGAGCGAAAGTTCTATGTAAGAGTAGCAAGGAGTGATGCAACAAAGGCAAGTCGAGAGTCTAAGGTTTTTTATTTTCAAGAAAACGAATAGTATGTCTAAATATGGAATAAACGACTAAGGTTTGTAAGTTTATATAATTTAAAACCTTTTAAAAATCAATGAAATAAAGCAGAGATACTTGTTAGACTGACATTACCGTCTTTCACTGTTATTTTGGGCAATAAGAATAAAGTTATATTGTTAATTAATTTAAGGCGAAAATTATGAATTCTACACAAGGATTTTACACAAAATTATTAATTTATAACACATAATTTATTACTAAGTGTAAAGTACTGTAATATTTTCTAAGATCATACCTACCAAAATTATATTGCCTGTATTTCATTTTAATCTTGAACTTTGGATAAAAAACTACTTTAATTTTATGCCGTATTTTCCATTGTTGCTAAGAAGCTATCCAATTAAGTTTTTCATCAAAAACCTCAATCTTATTTAATATTACAAAAACCAATCAAACTTACCGTACTTAATTTTTTTTTTACTTTTTTATATATCTCATGAAAATTGGTCGGCTTATATTTTATTGTTACATTTATATGATACCGTTTCAAAGTCCAATACGATTATTAATTAGATAAGTATGGTACAGTGCGATGTACATAACTTTACTCGGTTTCATTATTGGCTGGCTAGTTACAAAGGTCGATTATATGTTGCAAACATTAGTGGGCTTTAGTATAACAAGTGAAACTTGCTTATTAATTACTATGTTAATTAATTAGATCTGAATAATGTTTCACAATTCATTTAAATTATAATTTATTTAAATATATTTTTTTTAATATAATTAACAATATTACAAGGATTTAGAAGCTATGACTTAGAGAATATTTAAATTCTAGTAGAAAAGAAAATAGACTAGTTCAGTGGCGTTGTAGATAAACGCCGCAGTCCACTAACGTTATTGTTAAGGATATTTCGCAAGGACTGTCACGGTATGGGTGACCATAAATATTATCTAAGCCGTTGGTCCCATTTACGGTCGTTTGTATCCTCCATTCCGCATGAGGCCGGGGCATGGAGAGTCATGGCCCATCTTCCTTACCATCGAGTGGGGACGTGAGCCCCTAGAGTGGGGACGTAAAATAGCTGAAGATGATGAGCTTTAAATTATCTTTGCTATGATTAGTCTAGTTTATTCTGAAACTAGCCGTTTCCCTGTGACTTCCCTTTTAGTTAAGCCTAAGCAGCGTATGAGCTTGCCGCAGGTGATGAATGAAAGAATGTTTAAATCCAGTAATTTCAGACAATTCAATGCAAACAAACAATCAACTCTTAGTAATATTTGTTAGTATGTATATAAAAATCAACAGAATTACTCATTATTTGATAAGTGTGATAACAATATTTTTATTTAAATTTCGAAAGACCATTTCGGCATAGATAATAAAATTTCCAATAGACAATCTTTATCGTAAAATTATGAGTGTAATCTCGCTATTATTGAAGATTTTATCATGATTATTGATACTTACCGACCATAATGTTGATGGCGTTTGTACTTTGTCGTTAATTATATAGATAATAATGTTTATTTATTTAGTATTATACTTATCATTCGTGTTTATTTTTACATACTTATTTGTATTGTCTACGGTTTTTTTTTCAAGAAGGTTAATTGATAGAGGTTGTGTTTTAATAATTATTTTATTGTCATTAGTAGATGGAGAGTTTTGTAGTTATTTGACAAACTACTTTATATTTTTTATTTTATTTGATCAATTTGCATTCTCAATGCTATATTGAATAATATGAGTATCTAATGAAAAGACTTAAAAATCAACCAGTCTTTGGGTACCTGAGGCCGGTGGTCTATTAAGCATTTTTAATTAGAGATAGATAGATTATATTTTCTTATAAATAAATATGAACCCATCAATAGTAAAGTTTTTTTTTCTTATTTAGTATAATGAAGTATTATTGTGTTTGATGCATATATGTATGTATCAAAATTTCCTTTCCAAAAAGAATCAATCATTTTTATTCTATATTTAGTTACTTTTCTCTATATATAAAAGGCGTATGAATAACTACCATTTTATACAGAATAACTTTAGTTTCGTTTGAATATTTAAAATAAATGTGGTTCATAACTCAGTACAAATGGATGCAAAGCTAACAAGGTAAATTGCATCGTGCTTACGTATCAAGGTTCACTTCTATCAATAGTAATGAACTGGCGCTACTCACACGCCGTATCGAATATCGTACACAAGTCAGATAAAATTGCTACTCTGCATAAATACATACATGTTTGCCACAATTAAAATTGTCACACAAAGATAACGCCATTTTAAATCATATAAACTTCTTTTTTGTCACACAGACAAAGGAATAATCATAATGGAATTCCTAATTCAAATTTTAAACGCGCTATAATTAAAAGAGGATGGTTACCAAGCAGATTTAATGCTTATCCATAAAATGTTAACGGGCGTTTGTCATTTAACTAAATATCATAAACAAATAAATGCTGTTTGTTGTAATTATGAACAAAACTGATAAAAGTATAATTTGAACGTTTATCATCATATTGTATTTGAAGTCTGTACGTGACTGTTGTATTTTTAATATAGTGGAAGTATTATTTATATGAATTAAATAAAATGTTAATTTTTGGTGGTCGTGTTGTGAGTAAAGTGTTTGGAAGGAGGTTTTATACCGTTGTTGGATATGACAAGTTACCATTAATTGGAATTAAAAGTGCCCAAGAGGTAAGTTTTAAGAATGTATTGAAAAAAAAAAATCAAATGTGTTGATAGTTGCTATATGTATAAAAATCTATAGGAAACGTCATGTTCTAAATTCAAATACAAAATTTTATTTTTAATTAGGTATGTGCTATTCTGGGAAGACACTATCGAGATCCGATACGGGACCAATTGTATCAAAATGTATTATTTTCTGTGGTCAGAATAAATTTTTTTATTGCGTCGGCATTATGAATAATGTTCCTGCTGTTTGAGTATATTCGTTCAGAATATGTTCCTCACATTCAATCTGTAAACAAATATGATAACAGAAGTAAATTTATTATTTAATATATAGTGTTCAGGCGTATGAGGAGCTCAATAGCACAGCGGTTAGCACATTCGGGTCGGTTATAGAGAATAAACATTACTTTCACAGTTTTAGCTAGAACTTTAAACGCTTAGGAACGAGATACTTCATCCGAGTTTAACGCATTGCTGTTGACATCCTTGACATTGTCTAGACCCAGTCATATGCTTAGTATAGAAACTGATGCTCTTGTTCACTTCGAAAAGGTCGCTTTTAAGATTAAACCATATCGGTTAATTGCCATTCATTGGTATTCAGATACCTATAAATGTCAGTAAAGAAAGTGATCTCCCAAATTTGTCTAAAGTTTGAGAATGATCCAATTATAATGCTTAGACAAGGAGGCGAGTTCTGCGGCGGCATTAACAAGGCGGCAATTCAAACTTGACACAATTATTGACGTAAATGTAATAATAAATGAAATTAAAATTTTCCGACTTCATATTTAAAAAGTACATCATACATCGCTGTTTGTTTTTTTAATATTGTAATTGTACATCGTACATACATCGCTGTTTGTTTTTTTAATATTGTAATTGTAATGTAATGTAATTGTAACCGAATATATAACCTCCTCCTTTTCGGTTTTGAACTCGGTTTATAGCAATGGCCCATAGATCATAATAAATCTATGGGTCACAACATAATATTATAATCAACCTTATTGTTTCATCATGCACAAATTAATCGTTCTACGGCTGTAGACCATTTCTTGGCTGACCTAATAAATAATCTATATTTATTTATTTATTTTGGTAACCGGTTTCTTTTTTGAACCGGTTTAACCTAAATACACGCTCTCCTTTGAACCGGTTCTAAACGGTTCATTCGAAATATGGTTTTATTAATTAACCGGTTTAAATATCACTCCGGGTAATGACCTCACGAATTTCTACGCAGTTTTTAAATACGTATATCCATAGCATAACCATCCATATACAGGTATAATAATGTCGTAACTGTAATTAAACATAATATATTTGCATTAAAAGCATAAGGATCAGCTTTTACGAGACAAGTGAAATTACCCTTTTTTTTAATTCGCATTCCTCTCCGTATTCAGTTCCGCTCTGCCCTTTTATTCTGTGACTCTGGCAACTTCAGAAGACTACCGAAATAAATTGTACACAGAGCTCTGTAGTCAAACGGTTTTCGTACGCTTTTGTTAGTCTATAACTTATCTTTAATAAATCAGTAGTTGCCATTTTCTTTATATTTAGTGGAGATAGCCGACATTCACATATCAAAATTGTGAAAATATGAATTAATGACTTGACACAGAATTTTTTCACTTTTTTCGGTGATTATCTTAGATTTCCAGTTGATATAACGAATACGCCTGCTGGGACGGAACATTACAAGGGATTTTACCTTAGTAAAAATGATTTATTCTGAATTCCTTTTCGTACAACCTGACGTGCTGTTGACTGTACTTTTATTAAAAGACACTATTGAAAGTTATATATATATTTTTTAATGTGAATAATAAAGATTTTATAATAATATTAAGCAATATATGCTACATATATCGTTATTTTTTATAATCACTATTATGATAAGTATGTAAGTACTTATATATGTATATCAATTGAAGTCATGCACTCGATGCATGACTATCACCACAACGTAAGTGATATTGAATACACTAATGTTTCCTTATTTCAATAAAGTGACTAATTAGTAGTAAGCAATTTAATACTTTTAGTGATAAACTCGACTTTAATATAAAAGCCTTGTTTATTAGTCAAACAAATGATCTAGTGATAATATATAGGAGAAAATAATAAACGCCTATGTATTTTCTGCTGAATTGCATTAAAATCGCTTCTAAGTATGATATAATCTGTAAATTGGTCTTTACAATTCGAAAAAGCACTTAAGCGTTCCAGCTCTTCCGGTTCAATGCTAATGGAAACTTTCAGGTGGTATTAGAAGTGTTAAAAGCGGCTCTTATTGCAAAGTCGACTGAATACGTTCTAAAGAAAGTTGAAGATCTATTTATGAATCCTTCGAGATGCTTCGAGCGCTCGTATAACTCAATGGCGTGTTTTGAGGCACTGCTGCTGTTGCCGTTCCGGTCGATAGGCTCTGACGCCCCATAAAGTTTTGGTAGGCAATTATTTTTCTACCACTTGTTTTCAAAATATATAATTTTGCATGTGCAAGTGGCAAAGTAGGTACGGCATAAGCTTCACATGAATTATGTATCATTTGATTTTACAGTAAAAATATTTATAAACCATAATTTTGATATATAATGAGAATAGAATTTACATGTCAAAACAGCGGTAGTTTTAGAGATGCAGAAGCAAGAGACAAAAAAACCATTAAAGTGAAGACTTTTTATGAGTGCTCACGTTCTGCTATAATGCAGAGGTATGGTGAGACAACGGATTGCAAACCTGGGCAGTCCAAAGATACTACTGCAGACCTACATAAATATACTACAAAACTTCTTGGGGGAACTGCGATGACAAGAGTAAGCCCACAGTGTTGAACGCAAAACAGGCACTTGGTGTCAAGTTGTGGAAACAATGCGCTTTTAGAAAGTAGAAGAGAACTATATAACTACTACATTGATGCTATTTTTATGAAGCAGGCGTATAAACCATCGAACGTGTATGAAAACTATAGTGAAGTTTATAGAAGCGAAATATGTGAAAGATCATGCGATTTCTTTCCGCAAGGGATATGTGTTGTGTGTGTAATGGAGGATATGTGTTATAGTCGCGGTCGAAGATCCGGGGTGGCAATAGGCCCGGATCGAAAACTATTTCCAACAAAGGCAGAAACTTGATATTGCTTTTACAACTCCCTCCCCCCCTTAGTTCGTTCTTTCCCCTGCTACATCACAGTTTGAATTCCTATAATATTCCTATAGTATAATATTTTCCCTTATGTTGAACACATACATTCACTGACTACCTGTACTCATGCAAAAGTAAAGTTATATCTATTCAACGTAAGCTTAACTTCCGCAAGTTCTGTTACTAAGTTCGCTTTTTCACTGGCTTCTTCTTAGTTAACTTCGAGGTAAAGTCGAGGGAGTTCAGAATAACTTTAGGCGATTATCTCCTCCGCTCGATCCCTACAGTTAGTCGAATACTTCGTACAGCGTGAGAACTTTTCAAATATGGCGTACGTGAAACAATTTTAATAAAGTATTAATAATAATCATTCATTAATTTAGCAACCACACAATGAACAAATAACAAATTGAATGGATAAATAAATATATACCCCCCCTAAAAAGTTATCCATTTCAGAATAACGAAATCCTATTAATATTATAAATGTGAAAGTTTCTTTGTTTGGATGTTTAGATGTTTGTCGGTCAATCACGCCGAAACCACTGAACGGATTTTGATGGTATACAGATAGGGTATTAGCTGACTTAGATAAAAGGATACTTTTTATCCCACTTAACATTTCCTGAGGGTCCACGCGGGCGAAGCCGCTGGCGAAAGCTACTGTAACATAAGTACGTATTGAATTTGATTTTTATCTATATTCTAATCCTGGTTTTGAGAAAGTAATGCGCGCATTGGTTGACATTACAGAAAGTTTATTCTTAGAACAATAAATTACAATTTTAGCAGTTAAACCTTGAGCTATAAGGCTATCACTGTTACAATTATAAAGTGATACCGCGATTTGTTTAAGTGCTTTCTTTTTATTATTTTCTATTTTTTTAAGTGAGATTCAATTTTTGGTTATCAGTTTGTAAACCATCTTCGAGGACCTAAAATGTATTCCAATTGTCGTATTAAGCGTTATGCATCGCATATGCGTGCAAAAGTGGGGGGAGGATTATCTTTTTTCAATTTGATATTCTATTGCCGTAAAATTAAAGGTCGAGTAGTATAAGTTATTATTAACAAATTCAATCAATGATTTTGATTTTCAGTCTTTCGAAATATATTAATGGATTTTTTTAAATTTAAATATTCAAATAAAAAAAGGGAAATTATAAGAATTCATTGGTGAAATCAATAAAACATTTGTATAGAGTTATAGCAGGAGAGTAAGGCGGTCGATATACAGTAGGTTTATTATCTAATTTTAAAATCTACCGCGTTCCCTTACAGTTTGAAATTTGACTTATCCACGAACTTCACGCTACAACTATTTGACATGTAATAATGATTACGATCGCGAAGTCTTTTTGAAAGATATTAAATGAATTATTTATTTATTTATTATTCTTGGAAAAAAAACAGCTAAACAAACATGATAGATTTCAGCATAAAAAACATAAAGCCAATTATAGGTTCCCATATATAGAAATAGCTTAGATCTAACCAGTGAATTCGCACACAAGCTACACAATCAAATAAGTAATCATACCTGCGCCATAAGTTAACGAGACAGTAAGTATTCTATTACTTAAATGAATTAATGTTGCAATCGAAGATGTCTACATCATACCCACACTCATCAAGCATCATATTTAAGCTTACGCTGGCCCTAACAATAAAGCTATTTTGCCTATAATTTGTAGATGACGAGGGGATCGCTATAGGTCGGTAATATCTCTGCGATCTTGTCGGGACTGAAAATTTGATGATACGCAACAATTCTGGACAATCAACTTGACAATTTATAATTTTAAGCAGATATACAATGTCGGCTACTGTTCTACGGAGCACCAGTG